TTCCTTCCCTTGTGAGTTGACTGCTTATTGGGCTTTGGGTGTTTTTAAGCAGATTTCTGTGACCTCTTCATGTATGAAGGAGATCAGTCCCTTGTCATATGTATTTCAAATAAAAAAAATATAGATAGATAGACAGATAGACAGACAGATGGAATCTCACAGGCTAGAGTGCAGCGGCATGATCACAGACACCGTAGTCTCAACCTGCTGGGCTCAGGCAGTCCTTCCACCTCAGCCTTCCAAGTAGCTGGGACTACAGGCGTGTGCCACCATGCCAGCTATTTTTTGATTTATTGCAGAGACGAGGTCTTGCCAAATTGCCTGAGCTGGTCTCAAACCCGCAGACTCAGGTAATCCATTCGCCTCAGCCTCCCAAAGTGCTGGGATTACAGGCTGAGCCACCAAGCCCAACCTAATTTTTTATTTTTATTTATTAGTTTTTTTTTGAGTTGGAGTCTGACTCCGTCACCCAGGCTGGAGTGCAGGGCCACGCTCCTGGCCACTGCGGCCTCGAGCTGCTGGGCTCAGGCAATCCTGCCTCAGCCTTCCAAGTAGCTGGAACTAGAGGTGTACGCTACCACACCCGGTTAATTTTTTTGATTTATTGTAGAGATGAGATCTCATCATGTTGCCCAGACTGGTCTCAAACCCCTGGGCTCAGGCAATCCTCTCGCTTCGGCCTCCCAAAGTGCTGGGATTACAGGTGTGAGCCACCGCACCCAGCCTTATTCCAGATGTTTAACTGGTTTGTGATGTGCCATTGGACTTTTCTTGGTAACAGCTTTATTGGGGTATAATTCACATACATACAGTTTACCCATTTCAAGTGTGTACAATTCAGTGGTTTGTATTAGAGTCGCAGATTTGTGCAACTGTCACCACCATCAATTTTGGAATATTTTTGTTACCTCAAGAAGAAACTCCATACCCTTTAACCGCTGTCCCAGAATCACAGTGATCTCCCCAGATGAAACCAGTCATCTACTTTCTGTCTGTCTAGATTTGCCTGTCCTGGACATAGAATATATTTGGAATCATAGAATATATGGTCTTTTGTGATTGTTGTCTTGTCCACTAGGCACAATGTTTTCAAGATTTGTCCATGCTGTAGCATATATCAGTACTTTGTTCCTTTTTTGTTTGCCTATTTAATAACAAACACAAATTGTGCTTATTTTTCGTGTACAATGTGTTCTTTTGAAATTTATTTCTTTTTATTGCTGAGTAATATCCTGTTTTATGGACATACCACTTTTTATTATCCATTCATCAGTTGATAGACATTTGTTTGTTTGTTTTTTCACCTTTTGGCTATGAATAATACTGCTTTAAACATTAAGATTTAGATTTTTGTTTGTTTATTGACATTTTAAATTCATATCATCAAGTCTATTGCTTATATTGTGATTTCTGCTGGATGTGGTGACTCACACCTGTAATCTCAGCACTTTGGGAGGCTAAGGTGGGAGGACTGCCGGAGCCTAAGAGTTTGAAACCAGCTTGGGCAACATAGCGAGACCTGGCCTCTACAAAATATCAAAATATTAGCCTATAGTCCCAGGAGACTGAGGTGGAAGGATCACCTGAGCCCAGGAGGTTGAGGCTGTGAGCCATGACTATACCACTGTATTCTAGCCTGTGTGACAGAGTGAGACGCTGACTCAAAAAAAAAATAGATTGTGATTTCTTTAGTTATTTGATTAACAGATCTTCCCCCAAACCAATGATAAAACATTCACCCATATTTTCATCTTTTTAATTTTTTTTTTTGAGTTGGAGTCTCACTCTGTCGTGGCCGCTCCCGGCCAACGCAGCCTCGACCCGCTGGGCTCCGGCGATCCTCAGCCTTCCAAGTAGCCGGAACTACAGCCATGCGCTACCAGGCTCAGCTAATTTTTGATTTATTGTGGAGATGAGGTCTCACCAAGTTGCCCAGGCGGGTCTCAAACCCCTGGTCTTCGGCAATCCACTCACCTCAACCTCCAAAGTACTGGGATTACAGCTTGAGCCACCTAGCCTGGCATTGTTTTTTTTTTTTTTTTTTTTGCGTTGGAGTCTCACTCTTGTCGCCCAGGCTGGAGTGCAGTGGTACGCTCATGGCCACCGCAGCCTCGACCTGCTGGGCTCCGGCGATCCTTCCGCCTCAGCCTTCCAAGTAGCTGGAACTACAGATGTGTGCCATCATGCCTGGCTAGTTTTTGTTTGTTTGTTTCTTTCTTTTTTTTTTTTTTTGGTGATGTATTGTAGAGAAGAGGTCTCACTGAGTTGTCCAGGCTGTTCTCGAACTTCCGGGCTCAGGCCATCCTCTCGCCTCGGCCTCCTAAAGTGCTAGGATGACAGGCTGAGCCACCACGCCCAGCAGATTTTGACCATTCTAATAGATGAGTAGAGATATCTCAGTTGTTGAGAGACATTTATTGCTTTGATTTGCATTTCCCTGATGATAGGTGATGTGTGCCATCTTCTCATGTGCTTGTTTGCCTTCTGCATATCTTCTTTGGTGGGGGTGTCTTTTCAGGTCTTTTGTTTATTTTATTAATTGGGTTCATTTCTGATTGTTGAGTTTTAAGAGGTTTTTTTAAAAATATATATTTCGAATACAAGTGTATTTTATCAGTTACGTCTTTTGCAAATATTTCCTCCTAGGCTGTGGCTTATCTTCTCATTCTCTCTCTCTCTTTTTTTTTTTGTGTGTCAGAGTCTCACTCTGTTGCCCAGGCTGGAGTGCAGTGGCTCACTCGTGGCCACCGCAGCCTCGACCTGCTGGGCTCTGGCGATCCTTCCGCCTCTGCCTTCCAAGAGGCTGGAACTACAGGCGCGCACCACCACACTCGGCTTGTTTATTTATTTATTTATTTGTTTGTTTATTCATTGTAGAGATGAGTTCTCACCAAGTTGCCCAAACTGGTCTCGAACCCCCGGACTCAGGCAATCCTCTTGCCTTGGCCTCCCAAAGTGCTGGGATGACAGGCTGAGCCACTGCGCCCGGCCGCGTCTTACTATTTTAAGTAACCCATTGAATATTTTAAGTCAATGAGATAATCTTCTCATTCAGGAAGAATCTCAGAAACGTTTTTGAGTAGGGATGTTCTAATAATCAGTAATTGAAACGTCCTGGAATTCTTCAGAGGACTGTGAATTGTCCTGACTTTTTTAGCTCTTTCCTTCACAGGCTGTGGTCTGGATGAGAGCTACTTGGGTGGCATGTGTGGCTCTGTCTAGGGCGATGCACCCCAGTTGTTTTAGAAGTGCCCAGTCAAGGAGAGAAGGGGGGGAGGGGAGGGGGAAGGCAGATCCAGCAAACAAAGCAGCAGCCTCCCATGTTCGCTTACTCAGGGAGTGAGGGCGGAGCCAGTGGGATTGGAAGGGAAGGAGAGACAGAGGCGGCTGATGGCTCTGATGCCCAGCTGGCCATGTCGCCCTGCTTGGAACTCCCAGGGCTCTTTGCCCCACCTCTTACCGCTGAATCCTGCCTGTTGCACACACAAGGTCAAAGACACCCAGACAGGCCTCTTGAAGCACGCAGCTTGGGAGAAATCACAGGGCTGGGACCAGCAGTGGGAATCCCCTGCTCCACTGCCCATTGTACTCTGGGGTGGACCGTCGACCTTCAGCTAACCAGATGCCAGGCTCTGGACAGGACTCCTGCCTGAGGCTGGGGGGCTTTTAAGCTGCACGACAGGGGGGTGGGGGGGAAGGCCCAGCCTCTCCTCTGGCCCGAGCAGGCCAGGGGATGGTGCCTGCCGGTGACAGCAGTAGGACGTGGCAGTGGCATGGTCCCCAGCCCTGCTCCCCCATCTCAGCCTTCAGGGTCATGGGAGCACAGCCTCTTCCCGACATGACCTGGGGGCTAGGGTGCAACTTAAAAGCCCCACAGCCTGTGGCTACAGCTTTCTGGGGACACTACCCCAGAGCGCTGCCGGGACAATTGCCACAAGCTGCTCTGCAGAGGCCAGCTCCTTCCTGGGAGGCTGGCCTGCGGGGTCAGCCGAACTTGCCCCTGCCTCTCGCCTCCCTGCCCGTTAGACCACGGGCTCTCTGAAGGCAGGTTGGTGTGGAATTCATCCTCGAGTCCCCTCAAGTGGCTAGCATATTTGACTGGTTCTGCAAGTGGGTTAGGATGACTCAGAGCATGCCCCAAAACGGCCTGGAGGAAGCTGCTCTGTCCTTTAACTCTCCTGAAGCATTCTGGGGTCTGTTCCTCTTTGGGGAGCTGATGAATGCTTTGAACTATTTCCAGAGACGTCTAGGAAGATATGCACACACACACGCACGCATGCAATCTTGCACACACACGCACACACCCACACCCACTCACCCACGGATACGCACGCAATCTTGCACACACCCTCAGAAGCAGGCCTGTCTGTCCACAGATCTTGGGCACGAGCCCTGCCCTGAAGGTTCTTGGCATCAGCTCTCTCTGAGCCCGCCCCACGCTTTTACACACCCCTACTCTGTGGCCCTGAACCCCACGCATGTGCGATCCTCCCAGGTGCAGGTGTCGGCTAAGGCACCCCTCTGGAGCCCAGCCAGACCATCAGAGGCTTGTTGAAAATGACTGATGTCCACTGTTGCCCCTGGAGGGGGTGTGCGGACTAGCCACGACCCCGAGGGCTAATGACTTTCTGGACAGCACAGGCTTTACTCCATGTGCCAGGGATGCACGGTCCCTTCTTGACCGCCCCCGAGGGCAAAGGGCCTCCTCTCCCCACTCCTTCTCGGCCCTGCGCGGCGTCTGGAGGCCCAGTGGTGGCGACTAGGCCTGCAGCCTCAGACTGGCCTTTCTCTCCGCCATGCTCCCCTGTGGCCTACATGGCGGTTGACTCTTCCCCATCGGGTCCTCTGTCACGACTTCCTGAGTCACCCCCTTCAGCGGGTATTGGTCTGCCATCCACAGCCATTTCCTATTTGGTAACGTCTGGGGCTCTCACGGGCTGGGACACGCCCGCCCGATCTCCTTCCCTCAGGCCCCATTCAGCGTGTCCTCTCTTCCGCAGACTCTGGCTGCGACTCAGTCACTGACACGGAGCCCGAGGACGAGAAGGTCGTCCCCTGCTCGAAGCAGCAGAGCCCGCCGCCGGAGACCTCGCCGGGGACCCTGATGGTGGTGCAACCAGACCGCATTCGCTGTGGGGTAGGCACGGCCGGGGGCCTGGCAGGCGGATGCCAGCACGTGGGCTGGGCACATGGAAGCGTGTAAAACAGTCAAGGGAGTGGGGCTCTCACAGCTTGCACCTCCATAGAATTGCAGGAATTTCTCCCGGGTACTCACGCGTGTGTTCTTGACACACCTTTAAGCCAGAGAAAGACAAGCCCAAGGGTGTGCGTGTCCTCAGCCTAAGACTTTGTTGTTGTTTCAGACACTCACGCCAACCCTGAGACAGAGGCCCACGTTTGTTCCTGGTAGCCTAGCCCTGGAAGGAAGGGGATGGGGACATCCTGAGAGCTTGCTTATCCATGAACTAGCCCCCAGTATGGCCCAAGGGAGTGCCTTGAAGCTTGGTGGCCGAAACTCACCAGCCACGAGCAGATCAGATGAATGTCTAAGCATCGCGTGGCTAGCATTTTCAGGGGCGGGGCATATATTAGCAGGTGACTTGGATGTGATGGCCCGATGGACATCCTTTGAATCCTATGCTAGTGTTGACGACTGTTCATTTTTTTCTCTCTCCTGTTTAAAAAAGATGTGTGGTTGGCCAGGGGCAGTGGCTCACGCCTATAATCCCAGCGCTTTGGGAGGCTGGCGTGGGAGGAATGCTTGAGCCCAGGAGTTCAAGGCCAGGCTAAGCAACATAACGAGATCTCATCTCTACAAAACAATAATATTAGCCAGGCACGGTGACCTGCACCTGGAGTCCCAGGCTGAGGCAGAAGGAACACCTGAAACCAGGAGGTCGAGGCTGCAGTGAACCGTGATTGTGCCACTGCACTCCATCTGGAGGGACAGAGTGAGATTCTGACTCAAAAAAAGTGTGGCATTTATGATAGCTCAAGGCAGCAAAAATGCCTTTTGCTGGACGCAATCCTTCTTCATGGACGCAAGTTCTCTAAGATGGTACCTGCAGGCTTCTTGAGACACGGGGCTAGCAGGCCTTGGTTCTGGGAACACTGGCTTCCCCGCCCTTGTGAAGAAGGGTCTTCTGTGCAGCTTGAGGCCAAGAGGCGCTGGACAAGGGCTTCCTGGGTGGGGGTGGCCAGCGGCCTCTTTGGGCCGCTCTTGACTCACAGGGTGCTTTAGACAGTGCAGTTTTACAAATAGGTATAAAAATCTGTGTCCCCAGCTTCCTTTGAATCAGAATCTGGTCATGTGAGGCCTGAGGTACCCGTCGGGGCTGAAACATCCCTTTCCATAGGACATGCACCCCCAGGTGGCTGGTCCCCGCCTCTCCCTGTCCGTGGTATTCAGCCTGGCTCACTGCCCTTCCGTACTGGCCAGGCCTTTGGGGACATGTCAGTTTTCAGTCTTGAGTTGGAGTCTCACTCTGTCGCCCAGACTGGAGCGCAGTGGCCGCTCCTGGCCACCGCAGCCTCGCCTGCTGGGCTCCGGCGATCCTTCCGCCTCAGCCTTCCGAGTAGCCGGAATTACAGGCGCGCGCTACCACGCCCGGGCTGATTTTTTGATTTATTGTAGAGATGATGTTTTGCTGCCC